GAGAAAAAAAAAAAAAAAAAAAGACTCCAAACACAGGAGAGTGAGTTTAAACATTTATTTAAACAGAAACTCCAAACCACTCCACCCTTTAACCTTTCAAAAAAAGACAACGACAAACTAGTTTTCAGCCAGAGTGTCAGAGCAGGCATAAGTTGTGTTCCACTATAACAACTCAGTAGCAATACTAGCAGGAGACCAACACATACGGAGCTAGCACTGCAAGGAGGGGAGAAGTAAAAAGGGTTTGAAACTGCTCAAAGGCACTTCTGCCCACTTGCCCTTCCGTTGTCAGTCCAAGACGAAGGTGCTGGCTTTAAACTGCTTTTTTTTTTTGGTTGCATAGCTGGCTGGTGTGAAATCTGTGGTCTGTAACAGGCACAACCTGGATAGCGTGAATCCTCTAAGGCACATATGAGATTGCGGAGCACAGGGCAGCCTCTGTCGGGGACCCTGAGCCTCCGCTCGATCCGAGGGGAATCCAGTCTGTGCACCCAGCTTCCCAACTGCAGAGCATTGAGAAATGAGGATAGCAGTGCACTGCAGGAGAGCGACTCCCATCAGCTTGGTGCTTGCTTATTGGACATGGCTCAGGCTCAACTCTTCACTCCTCAAAAGGCGCTGCCGCAACGTGACCAACTCCATCGCTTCTGACCGCAACAACAACCCTCAGGCCAGGACCTTTACCCAAGAACTGGCTCCGACGCACGTGGTGGAAAGGAGAGCAGGGTCACAAGGGCAACCAAGTGACGTGGCCACGCCAGGGTGCCTGACGCTCATCACCTCCCAGGAGGGCTCTCCTCCTAGTCTTCCTTCGGTAAGGATGGATGGGCACACCGGTACCATCCTTGCCCTTGACACTGCACTGGAGAGACTGCACTCCATTCAGCCCCAAGATACTGGCGATAGGCACCGAAGAAGGTTTCGGGAGCGTAAGTTACAAGCAGAATGGTTTGGCATCCACCTCTAGAGACAAATGGGGAACCCCAGCTCCCCCAGAACAGTCTCTCAAAAGAAGAAGTCTAGGAGAGGTGACAGGACACCCAACTCCACCAGACCTAAGGCAATTCTAGTGACATGGCATCCATGGGGATGGTTTAAGCCTAACGAAATCACAACCCCACTCTCACAGCAAAGGTGAGAGGGACTCGGGACTCCTTAGAGGCTTCATGTAAGGCAGGGGAGGCTAGCTGCTCCCAGGGATCCTACCAATCTCAAAAGCTTAGTTCAAAGTCAGTTTGCTAATAAATTTAAGGCAAAATTAACCTCTTTCTCTAACAGGAAATGAGGAAATTTTGAGCATCAGACCATGCCTCTTCCCATCTCCAATTTTCTTGGGAAAGCCTCTCGCTTCTGGAAGGACGGTGAATTCCAGACAGAGACTTGATCATTCATGGTCATCGGGGAAAGCTGCATCCTGTGACCATGGCATTAATGACCTATTCTGGGTAGGAAACTGCATTCCAGCTTCATCAAAACACTGAGTGGAAAAACACTGATTCTTCCCACACCCACGCAGAGCGTGGGCACCAGGGGCTGAGCAGAACAGAAGCCAAGCAGGGAGCAGCTACGGGCTTACGCCAAAAACCCAGAAGCTCTGGCACCCAAACCAAGCCAAACAGCTGGAGCAAGAACGGGTGACTTAGTCTGAGGCCCAGATGCTTGTCATCTGGTTGGGAAGCAGGTGGTCTGAAACTGAGAACCAGAGATTCCATCTCAGACAGTCCCTGTTACTGGAAACGCCACCCCATTCACTCATCTCGGTGCATTGCCTGGAAGTTGGAAAGCTCTAGGCACCCAGAATAAAGCCTTTAAACTCTTGTCTATACAGGCCACTGGACACAGCCATATGGTCAGAAGCTGTGCCTCAAGGCCAGGGACATGCTGTCTACCATTGTCTCCCGAACAGGAAGATCTCCACTGCCTCCAGAATGAGACATTCTCTGCTCCCTCTGCCCCTAAGCTTAGGGGAGCAGCCTCACCGGCTGGGCCTTACCATGTGGTAGGGAGAGGATCCTAGTCCTTCACCCCTCTGAAGTGAAGGTGGCGAGTCTTAGGGTTCAGCCAGCTTCAGTACAAAACACGTCTCCTCCTCTCATCTAGAGATGCAGTGATGAATACCGGGGTCCCAAAGGCAGCTCCCAGGAAGCAGTGAAACAATGAAAGGGCCACAAGCTGCTACTGGAGCCATCGCCGTACTGGGGCCGTTCTGCCTCACGTGCAGAATTGACAGATAAGGTACAAAGAGGAGCTGCTGCTGCTTCAATCACTGAGCTGGCCTAGAGCTCAGGGGCCCTTCCCCTCTCAAACTCACTCCTAGTTCATATCAAACGTACATGGGTGCTGCTCTGGAGCCTCCGGCCTCGCTCCTTGTCTGCGAGTGACCTGAAGCCAGGAAAGCCGCTCTCTGCATTCGGTTAGTGTGCTGTGAAGTTAGATGGATCCCAGTGGGCTCAGGAGACTAGAGGCTGGAGCGGCACGAGTCCGTTCCCAGGAGACACCAGGAATCTGAATCCAAGTCAGGTTTCGGATCCACTTCCATCTCCTCTTTGGCTGTTTGTGTTCCTTTGGAATGAACCTCCACCTGCCAAAACACACAGCAGTTACCCAAACAGCTCCAGGACTAGCTGCAAAGAAGCTAGGAGCCACATAAGGCACAGTTTCTGTTCTCCACCACCGTCTGGGACTCTCTGTGACATCTGACTGCCAATACCTTCTCACCAAGAGAAACAGAGGAGAATCCCAGGTCCCTCAAGGACTGGGCTGTCCTCACAGGAAACCATTGTCTTGGTTTCATTCCTGTTGCTACCACCAGAGCCTGCATCAGCAGCTCACACAATAAACAGGCGCTCAGTGCCCCCACTCTGCTCCAAGACAGACATCTGTTAAGAGCTGCTTCTTTCTGCACAGCCTCCAATCTACACAGGAGCCTGAATCAGCATAGCGAGCCCTGAGCATGGATGTGCACCCAGGAGATGGGTCCTCACCTGCTGCGTCGCCTCTGTCCCCCTGCAGAACCGCTGGAGTTGGGCACTCAGACGAACAGTTTCCTGCTGCAGCTTCTTCTGATCATCTAGACACTGTAAAACCAGGCCTCGGAGCTGTGCCACCTCCACTTGCAGAGCGCTGCACATGCAGCCTGCAACAGGAGACGCGGCTTTCCCATCACCACACGGCAGGGTCGGACTCAGGCAAGTAGGCTGCAGA